TTTTATAACTGCATTAAGTCGCATTCAATGATATTATAGATCACTAAAATTTGGTCAATAAAGGAAACAATATAGTTAATTTAGAATATTCTGGATCTATTAAACTTTATATACCTAAATACTCAGCTTACTTTTAAAACTGAATGGAGTAATTTCATGGTAATAAAATAGCAAAATCTTCCACCAGCTCCAGATAAGCTTACAATGAAAAAAAAAAAAAAAAAAAGACGATAGTGTCATTTGGCATGCCACACCCAAGAAAGAAGAGATAGAAGAGACAGAAAAAAGAGGGGATAAATTCATTGAGACTCAATGTCTTTCGCTCACATTTCATTAAACACATTCAATACTAATCACTATCTTGTTAAATTCCTATACTACTTAGCATTGTAGATGACTAACTTTTGTGAAAACAATAATAATAATAATAACAATAACTAACAAGATATAAATTTTATCCGATTATGATAAATTAATGAAGCGAGTATTTTGAGCATTTAACTATTGATTATATATTTTGTTTTATTTTTCGTAAACCCAACAAAAAGAACATAAGATTACATTTAGTTTCAATTTCAAAAGACCTGAAAGATGAATAATATACAGATATATCGTAGAATATACAAAATAATCTGAAGTATTGAATTTCAAATCTTAAAATGGATTCAATTTATTAAATTTTTTTTTTTTTTTTATGGTTTTGGTGTCGCAAATTCCTTATATAAATTGAAAACAAATTTAAAACCGAAGAAATCCAAGAGTCAGATATGAATGCATGGAGAAACATTATATCATAAATTAGGGTTCTTAAGAAATACCTTGGGAGGAAATGGTAGAGGAGGATTCAAGTCACTGAAGAGGTACCGGAAGAAGGCGTCAAGATTCAGAACTCTCCGGTGAAAGATTAGATGGTGTTTCAGCTCTTTGATCATAGCATCCACGGCAGCCTCCGCCTCCTCCTTAGTCGCCTTATCATCTCCTTGTATCTCCACCATGAACCGGTGCAAATGCTCCGGAGTCATCACCCGATTCTCAGAATAATGACTGAACAGTTCCTTGATGTCCACCGGAGGTCCACCCTCCCGGAGTTTGAACTGTCGCCGGAAACACAAGCACACTCTGTATGTTTGCTTCGACATGTTGAGAAGGAGAGCGACTGTGAAAGTGTCTTTTTGTTCCGCAAGAACATATAAGGAGCACAAAGTCTCTAAAAGTAAACCTTAAAGGTTGAAATGAAATATGTAAAATGAATCCAAATGTATTTTTGGCATACTTGAGCATTAGAATTTGTTTTATTTAGAAGTATTATATTAGTTATTTTAATAATAGTTTTTTCTAATCATGCATTTGGCTAAAATAGAATTGTACAATAACATTATTGATAAATACAAAATAGTTTTTAGTCTAAATGGTATCAAGGTGTGTAAAAAATGTATCTTCTCTCTTCTAAGAAGTTAATAATTCAAGTCTCATTAGGGATAAATAAGTAGTTTAAAATTAAGATTTAAAGAGCGTCTTAGCCGTTCAAAAGAAAAAAGATAAATATACTTCATTAAAAATATTAAATCGTAATAAGATAATTTTTTTTTTTTTTTAAGACTTTATCAATCTTAAGTCGATAAATATCTATTCGGTACCCATTAATTGTAATTTAAAGTTTTAAATATTCAATGACCATGACTTTATCCATCTCATTTCTTTGTTTTTCAATAATAAGCTAAAATAGTGTTGATGAAAAGTCTTGTTCTTAATATTATTTTATAATTCTTATTATTCATTCCGTCTTCTCATGAAAAGTTAAATGCAATATATCATCTTTGTATATTTAATTGAAACTCCTAGCTATACAAAAATCAATATATTGGGTTCATTCTCACTATTTAACTAAAAATTAGTTTATTAAATATGTATATTTAAGTGAAACTTATAGCTATACAAAAATCAATATATTGGGTTTATTCTCGCTATTTAACTAGAAATTAATATTAGTTGTATGTTCAATTTCAAAATCTAGGAATAATTACGATCGGTTTCAAGACTAGTTCTTACATTTCCAAAACCATCATCTTTGGTTTCCTGACCATTTCATGAAATTTGGTTGGGTACCCATTGTGCACACTCCATTATTAACAAACAAAATTGAAAGTAATATGGTAAAAAAATAGAGAAAACGTCAAAAATGGTCCCTGTGGTTTCCAGAAATATTAAGTTTAGTCCCTAAGTTCAAAAAACCTCACAGATGGTCCCTGTGGTTTCAAAACTTTTAACAAATGGTCATTCCGACTCACTCCGTTAGCATTTCACCGTTAACTCATTTTTTAATAAAATATTGCAGGGGTAATTTCGTCATTTCAGTTGTAACCTTCTCTCTTTAATATGAAATGATTACTTGCTTGCACATCACTACCCGTCCCTCTCCCAAGAAGATAACCAGTTACAGGTTTAGTCATCGGGTTCATTCCCATCGTAGAAGCAAGAACAGAAATTGGGATTTAGGGTTTTAAGCTGCAGAAATTGCAATGGTGCTATCAATATGGTGTTTTCGAGAAAAATTTGTAACCGTGGAGGACTTAGGAAAAAGATACGGTACAATACTACAACAAAACTTGTTTTTTCTTGGTCTATTGTGTTGACGTAAGGAAATCATTGATTTTACTCTTTTTTTTTTGTGTTTACAGAAGGTTATGACAACTATTTCACGTTGAAGATACACTACAGTGGTGTCTTCACCAAAGCACCTGGAAGGAAATACGTTGATGGTGTTGTAGCATATGTAGATGATGTTGACACTGATTTATTTTCAGTTCATGAGCTTGACGACATGGTTCGAGAACTAGGGTACAAAAATGAGCAAACCCTTTACTACCATTTCTGTATCCTCGAATACCCTTTGGACTATGGCTTAATGCCTTTAGGTAATGATCAAGATGTACTTAAAATGGTATCATATGTCCCTAAACACAGACTTATCAGGGTGTATATTGAAACTGGTCAGACAAGGGTAGCTACTTATTACAAGTCTCCTTCTAAAGTTGTTATTGAAGAGTTGGAGCTTGATAGTGTGTCACCTGAAATGAATAGAAAGAAACCTTGTAGGAGAGAAGCAGGATCATGTAGTAGAAAGCTTGATCTAAACAAGTCTATGAACCCTGATTATGAGCAGTCACAAGTGTTAGATGTTGATGAAGGCCAACATTACTCAAAGAGTATTGTACCATTTATAAGGTCATAAGGCAAACAAAGTCATGTCATTCAAAAGGAAGTGGTGAATCATGAAATTGAAACTCAAGAAGAAGTGATCACTAGTGCAGTTGAAACTGAAGAATCATTGGGAACTTACCATGTACAGGAACCAAGCTGCCAAGCTGATGATGGAGCTAATACTGCAACAGTTGATGATTATGAACCATTTATAGAGGATTACTCACTTTATACTGATTATGATGCTGAGTTTAATGTTGAAACTTCATTTAAAAAACAACCAGAAGTGGATTATCTAGAGGGTATGGTGAGTGATGATAGTGGAGAAGCTTTCTACTCTGAGAGTGGCCATGGTTCTGAGGATAGTGGAGATGATTCTGATGACAGTGAATACAATGTGGATGAGTCTAGCATACAATTTGATGTAGATGTAAACATGAGTGAATTCCATAATGTTGTTGATGTAGATGAACATGGAATCTTGAACAATCATTCAAAAGATGAAAGGATTGACATGGTTGATGATGAGTTGGAAGTTATTGCCACTGATGATTATCAATTTGCAGGATTTCATGAAGATGATAGGAAGAGACTGCTAAAAGAGTTGAGTAAGTCAAGTACATGCTCACATGGAGAGGTTCATGTTAAACCATTTCAGATTGGCCAGGTCTTCAAAACCAAGATTGATGTTAAAAACTACATGAACTCACATGCTGTAGCAACAAGGAGGTCTTTATACCTAGCCAAAAATGACAAAATCCGGATTAGGGTGAAATGTAAAGGTGTTGTAAGTAAGCCTTCTACAGGAGTTGATGGTGGTGGGCCCTCAACTAGAAGTAGGGCAAAGTGCAAGGGTAAAGATGTAATTGCCAATAAAGGTACATGTCCATGGGCAATCCAAATATCGAGGGCTAATGAAAATCAGGATTGGTTGGTGAAAACAGTACAGGATGAGCATAAATGTTTGCAAACAAGGGCGGTTAAAGCTTGCACTTCCAGATACGTAGCAAACTTAATTGTTCAACAAATACAGAGTAACCCTAAAATTCCAGTGAAAGCTTTACACGAAGAGTTGTGCAAGAAACTGGAGGTAGGAATGTCATTGCAAAAGGTTGCTAGGGCAAAGTCAATGGTTGAGCGTATCATTAGTGGGGACTACCAAGTACAGTATGGATTTTTGAGGGATTATGTGTTGGAGCTACTCAACACTAATCCGGGTACAACAGTTCGGATTGATGTGTATCCAGAAACCTCCCTGTCTGTTACCACAAGAACTTTTAGAAGAATATATGTCTGTTTAGGTGCATTGAAGTTAGGATTCAAATCTGGATTAAGAGATTTTCTAGGTCTGGATGGTACTTTCATGAAGGGCCCTTACCCTGGGCAAGTGTTAACTGCTGTAGGTTTGGACTCAAACAATGGCATATACCCTGTAGCATATGCAGTGGTAGAGACAAAATCAACAAGTAGTTGGACCTGGTTCTTGGAACTGTTAGGAGAAGATCTGGATCTGGGACCAAATTCAAACTTTACCTTCATTTCAGATAGACAAAAGGTGTGTACCAGCTAACTTTTTTTATTACCTTTTCTAAATACATTTGGTTAACTAATGTTGCATACATTGACTTTTGTTTAGGGAATAATACCAACAATGGAGAAGGTATTCCCTAGTGCAGAACACAGGTTCTGTTTGAGGCATATCCAGGAAAACATGAAGAAACAATGGAAAGGAAAAGACTTAAGTGACCAGCTTTGGGAGTGTGGTAGAGCAACAACAGTCAATCATTTTAACAGAGCAATGGATGAGTTGAAGAAGATCAATGCAGAGGCTCATGCTTGGGTGTCTAAGATCCCAGCAAACACTTGGGCTAAATCTCACTTTAGTGGTAAGTTTCTAGAAATTTATTGAGAAATGTTAATCTTCCCTGTTGTGTGTTTACTATATGTGTAATTGTCTTCTGTTAATATCTATTATTCAGGAAGGGCACATACTGATTGTTTGTTGAATAACCTTTGTGAGGTATTCAATTCTAAGCTAGATGAAGGTAGGGATAAACCTATTATCACTTGCTTAGAGTATATTAGAGAGTATCTCATGAAGAGGTTATGTGTGGTGCAAAAGGAAATAGATAAGTGTGAAGGACTTCTAACCCCTACTGCAACTACACTGTTTGAAAAGATTAAGGCTGATGCATCAAAGTATGTGGCTAAATACAATGGGGCAGGGAAGTACCAAGTGGCAAGCACATGGAAAGACCAATATGTGGTAAACTTGAATGATCAAAGTTGCAGTTGTAGGTTTTGGGAGATTACAGGTTTCCCATGTAGACATGTTGTTTGTGCTATATGGGACAAAATTGAAAATGGTGAAAATGCCCCACATGTTGATGAATGGGTCCATCCTTGCTATAGGTTATCAACATGGAAAGCCATGTATTTCAACAAAATTGATCCATTGAATGGACGTACAATGTGGCCTAAAAGTGACTGCCCATTCACTTTACTTCCACCAAAACATAAGATATAGGTTTGTATTTAAAGTAAACCAAAAATATAGTATACATGTAAACATGGAATGAATTCAATTTTAACTATAGTATATCAACATGTGTAGGTTGGGAGGCCTAAGAAGAAGAGAAGGAGGGGTGTTGATGAGCCAAACAGTCAAGCTGGTAGATTGAGCAGGAAATATTTGGCAGTCACTTGTTCAAAGTGTCATAACAAAGGGCACAATTCCAGAACATGTAAAGGGCAGGGAGGCAGTGGTGAAGTTGGAGGGGGATGATGAAACTTAGTGGTTATTAGGATGCTGGTGTTGTAGGTATTTAGAAACTTATGTCATGTGTACTTGTTTGAAGATGTGTTAAGAACTTGAAAACTTTGGATGTAATGCTTGTGTTGTAGGTCTTTTGAAAACTTTGCTTCATGGTTGTGTTAAGAACTTTATAACTTTGAATGTAATGGTTTGTATGCACTTTTTGGTGATGAATTAATATGTTTTGTGTACTACCCTTCACAAAATCAATTAATAACATTGTACATTTCAATTGCAAATGAAAACCATCTTCAAGATACATTTACAATACACTTAAGAATTGCATTTCAAAAACGTTCAAGAAATTGAACAATGAATTATAACAAACTACATTCCATTACCATTACCATTACCACTGCATTACACATTAATCTAATACATAAACCAAATATAACAACACCAATTCCAAAACCACCTACATAAACTGAAAGAAAAAAACCCCTCTCCGATTAAAAAAAAAAAACTCCATTACCATCCAAAATAATACCAAAAAAAAAAAAACACCCATGAACAAAACAACATTAGTTGGTAGTTCCACAATTTTGCAGTTACAATGGCAACCCTCTCTTCCAATCGATTCTTTGATCTTATCAAACCTGGAATCACCACCAAAGCCCTACCACACATAGGAGGATCTGACCATCGAATGAAACCACATCTTCTACAGTTCCAAAATTGTCTTCTAGGGTTACGATCCGTCCATGAAGTGATCTTCGTTGCTTCATTTCCACATCTGCAAGTCACCATCTTTGAATCAGAAGCGATTGGATGTCGTAAAGGGTGCAACGGTCGAGCAACAGTGGAAAGGAGGAGAGATGATCGACTGACGAAGCTAAAGGATTTGCCCAAAAATCGGACATGCAATTTCTTTTAAAGAGAGAAGGTTACAACTAAAATGATGAAATTACCCCTGCAATATTTTATTAAAAAATGAGTTAACGGTGAAATGCTAACGGAGTGAGCCGGAAGGACCATTTCTTACAAGTTTTGAAACCACAGGGACCATCTGTGAGGTTTTTTGAACTTAGGGACTAAACTTGATATTTCTGGAAACCATAGGGACCATTTTTGAAGTTTTCTCTAAAAAATAAATACTTAGAAGTTAGAACCACATTGCTTGATTTAATGATTGTAAGTGATTTTAATATTCGTTATTTAAGAGTTGTTTGGTAGCCTCTTAATTAAAAATGTAAGAGGCAGCGTATGAATTTCTAAGATTTAGATTATATGGTAGGGTATGAAAAAAGCTTCTTAATTTTGTAAAAACCTCCTAAAGTTTCAAATTGCAAGTTCATGCCCTCAAGATAACTCATAAATATGTCTTTATGTGAGTATGATAGAGGACTTAGTTATGAAAATATGTACAGAGGGAAAGGAAATAAGAAAACCCACTATTTAATTCATACATAGACGATTATTTATAGTCTTAAAAAGGAACATAAATAAATTAATAAATTACTAATTAGTGTAACGTTCCAAAAATACCGAGTATAACTTTTATTTTAATTAATTCAAAACCATTCATTTATTATCCAAAAAGACAATCATATTAAATCATAAACAATCAGTGCGAAATAAATCGTCGGGGGATATAGTGCGATCAAACCGAACTCTTCCTTTCAAAACCATAAGTACCTGAAAACATTTAAACACAAAAAAATAAACACAAAGCTTAGTAAGTTCCCCAAAATACCATATATATATATATATATATATATATATATATATATATATATATATATATATATATATATATATATATAAACAAGAAACTATGTCGGGTACGTAACAACTCTCAGGTCGGTATCTGTAACATCCCCAATTTCACGGTCAGAAAAAACCGATTTGTTTATGCTTTGTTTTATAAAATCAAAGTAAATCTTTTAAAGAAAACGGTTGCGGAATTTGTTCCCAAAACAAAATATGATAACCATTTATCAAAACATTTCTCAAAGAGAATGTATTTTCATTAAATAATAAAAACATCGGGATGTCATGTTCCAATACAGACCAAAAGCATAAACAATATAAAATAGACCTTACAACAGTTATTTATAACTACTGATCTATAATCCAAAACCTGTCATCAAGTCCACCACCTTATACTCTTGTGCCATTACCTGTAATGCATAGAAAACTGAGTGGGTCAGCCTTGGAAGCCTGGTGAGCATATAGGGTTTTCAACCCACAATAAATAATTAATTTAATTTCATCAACCAATAATAACGCAATTACCCATTCCCGTTATTCTCACTTTACGTCCCTAAGACAACTAACACAAGGGACCTAGTCTAAGAATATTTCATCGGGGCGACAACACATGCTTCGGGGGTTCCTCAGCAATATAAGTCAAATAAGGCAACCATGAGGGGGATGGAATACAGCGAATGAACACCCGAGTTCATTAACACCTAAAGGTTATGAGCCTGATGGTGTTCCACGGGACTATCTAGAAAGAGTCCGTGGTCATCATCTAAATTCCGCTAGATGATTGGATCACAATGACATCGAGGCCTCTCATCTGTTTATCACACAACTATCTACCCATGTTCTACCTGGCATATTAGTAGATAAAAATATATACTTTTATACATAATTTAAAACCTGTATAGCATTCTCATTCAATACATATTCCAAACAACAGATGAGACACATACACGTAACACGTATTTCATAGAGAATAAATCATATTTATGAGATTGAAGAAAGTGAATATACATTCACACATATAACAACAAAATATACACATAACACGTATTTCGTATAAAATACTTCATAATTATGCGTTAGAAGAAATTAACTACGCACTCACCTTATCAGAAGATGATCGGACAGCACTATGACTTGTAGAAGTAGTATTCTTCGATTGATTTGGAAGATCTTCACAAAAAACTAGACTCCTCGCGGGTAGAGCTTCGACTAGGAAACTCTTTTCTTCTCGGGATCTTCGGGCTTCGGGACTCGCTTCGAGTCTCGGGATGATACCGGGGATTCAGGGGTACTTCTTTGCATGTAAATCGAGGTAATATAGGTGAGAGATGAGAGAATTAGCAACCAAACTCGACTGGCCCTTAAAATCTATTTATAGGGCAAAATTGGCCATTGCCACGTCGTGGCTCCTTTTGCCACGTTGTGGGCTTGGTCGTCACTGCATGGGTCATCTCAAGTTGCATATGGGGGACTCCCGGAGGTGTCAGAAGATCTGCCACGTCGTGGTCTCTGACACGGCTTTGGGGTCCGCGCCCCGAACTTCAGAAATTCGTAACTTTCGCATACGAACTCCGTTTTCGACGTTCTTTATATCGACGCGAAGGTGAGATTATGCTCTACAACTCTTGTTTAGACTCCATTGGCTAAATTTGACTTTATTTTTAATATATTATAAGTATATTACTTATATATTATCTTTAGTAGGCCGGGACAGGAAAACTCCGTTCGAAATTCATAACTCCTTCATCTGAACTCCGTTTTCGTCTGTCTTTTTATCGTTGGACTACTATCAAAGAAATATTCGACTCTCATTTAGATCACTAAGGATAGATATCTATCTACCTTAAATTCACTATTTACGTCGCGCTGGGTCGCGCTGGGTCATGCTGGTTCTGTCGCGAAACTTCGACAGGTCATAACTGTTGGAATAGTGTCTAAGGCTATAACTATATTCGGTGGTGCATGGTCCTTTTGGGTTGCCTTCACCATAGCAACTTGAAGGATGATTTGTATAAGAGAGAGTAAATATTATAAGGAATAATATTTGTCTATTTGATTAATATAAGTCATAAATTAATTGGTATTAATTTGGTGACTTAAAGGGATTAATTAAATAAGAGGGTATAAACTGTCAATTGTTTGATAGTTAAACTTTAGACTATAAATCCATTAGGATATACCTTGGACGGATTCTAAGAGCTTTAGATAAGCTAAAATCGTCCATAGGGTTATCTATGGAATGGATTTGGATAGCCTTAAGAGAAGATTATCCAATTAGGGTTTAGGGTGAAACCCTTAAGGAGTCTAAAGGTATAAATAGGCCCTTGGGATGGGGAATTCGGGTACAACCTTGTAGAACCTGAAGAAAGGAACCTCTGGTCGAATTCCATCCCCTCTCCTCTCTCCTAAATCATCTTGCTTGCTATTGGTGTTTGTAAGCCATTAGAGGAGTGACAATTGTGACTCTAGAAGCTCCAAGACAAACAAGATCAACAAGGGGATTCAAAGGTATGATTCTAGATCTGTTTTAATATTGTTGTTTAACCTAATTAGCCATTAGAAGTCTTGGATTCAAAAGCATTTTTATTAGAAAGCCTAGATCCAAGCAATAGGGTTTTGCATGCGCACATAGGAAAGTTCTTATGGCTAAAACCCAACAGTGGTATCAGAGCCTAGATTGGTTTTCTTTAAATTGTTGCTTAATTAACTGAAACAAACCTGCAAAATTCGATTTTTTGGGTTTTGAGTCACTGACTCGTCGAGTTCCAAGGTGGACTCGTCGAGTAGGCCTGACTCGGCGAGTCCCCTTGTGCACTCGGCGAGTCTAGGCGTCAGGAATGGCCAGATTCGGGATTTCTTTGTGTTTATCTTATCCAAACTTTCCATAAACTAATTAGATCAATATAAATCCGATTTTTTGATAAATATAAGTGTTATCTTGATCTAGTTAAAGTAATTATCAACTAATTAAATATTTAATTTCCTTATATGATAATTAATTAATTATTTTGATTATTTTGGTAATTATCTTCAAAGAAATCAAAGATAAATCAAATAAAGATAATTAAGATATTAATTGTTAATTGAAATTATTTGTTATTTGATCCTCCATGTTTTAAATGTTTAAAACCTACCCTAAAGTTTTGAAATTTATATTTGTGATTAAAAGTTTTAATTTAGACAACTTAAATTTCAATCCCTAGATTTTAAAAGTTTAAAATACAACCTATACTAATATGATATTAATAGTATAATATATATATGTATAACTAAATGCTAGTCTTACCGTTAGTAGGCCTCATTCACGAAGCCGATCTATAAGGTGGGTATAAGGTTGCGGCCTATAAAATGGCGCTTAATGGGTGTACACTCACACCCACCGCTTGCTTGATTGGTGGAGGGTCGTTAGCCGAACGGGTAGGATAGGGCAACCTCATCCTCTCATTAAAAGTATAATAAGAAATACGAAGTAACTAAACTTTTTTTAAAATTTCCCAATCTTAGTTACTTTAGGAAAAGTGAATTGATGCAATCCCATGAAATTACACTTTGCACCTTGCTAAGATGTTAGTGGAGCGTGTGTGGTTTACCGGCACACTAATTGGTTCTAAGCGAAGGTGGCAAAGGGTGATTCATTGTTCATCATAGTTCGATGGAGCGTGTGTGGTTTACCGGCACATCGAATAGGTGATCGTTACAATGAAGGCACCATGTGAATTTGCATGGTAATTCACACCCGCTTTGTGATCCTCGGCATCCCAGTCACAAACAAGAGGGGCATATCGAGATTTAAACATGCCATTGAATAGTTCAATGAATCTCATCCGAATCTAGGAATTCTCAAAAACACTTAGGACTAAAAGTTTAAGTTTTGTGATGGAGAATTAGTGAATCGTCATTCACTTACCTTCAATTTATTTGCATGTTAGATTACGGCATCCCTTTTCTAGTATGTAAATGTTATTGTTGGATCCTAGCCCTAATTTTTCTTATTGGGTGATAATTAGGGATTCTTGTTCTAATCTATCTTTGTCCTTTCTATAGATGTCAAACGCAAACAACGCTGCTGCTAGTTCTTTCACGTTGATGAGCCTTTGCCAAAAGGTCACCTTCGATGGAACGAACTTTAGCGAATGGATAAGATACATTCGCACCATTGCTCGC